CTGAATTCAGGGCTGCTAGATCTGCTTCCAAGCAGAGCCAAGGGCTTGGAGGTCATTTGGGGTCATAAAAGAAAGCATGACAAGCCACGCCCTGGCGGGTGGCAGGCAGAAACCACCAGGGAGAGAAGTGGAGAAGGGCGAGGGGGTGGGCCAACTCTGCCAGCTTCCAGCCCCAGCTCTGCCTGCCCTCCCTCTCCCTCCCCGGGCTCAGCGCCTCTCTGCAGGCAAAGCGGGATCCGTTCAAAGGCGTTTGCAACGCAGGACGTCGGGCAATGCACCGATTCTTCCCCCCGCCCCCGGCTGGAAATGCAAAGCAAAGGGCGATCCTAAGAGCCGGCAAGGGCGAATGCCGCCCCCACCCCCGGCTCCCTCCTGCCTCCGATACCTTCTCGGCTTGGTCCCGGGGCACCTTGCGCTTCAGCTCCATGTCGCACTTGTTCCCCAGCAGCAGACGCTCCACCCCGGCCGAGGCGTTCTGGGCCAAGGGAATTGCCGAGAGAGGCGGGCTCATTATTACCGTCCACCAGAGGCCCCCCCAAATGGGCCACTCCCTCTCTCTTTTGGGGAAGGGGAATCCCCCCCATTGCACAGATCAAACGACGACACCCCCACCGGTATTTTCCCTTATTTCTGGTCGGGCCGACCGGTTTCCTAACCAAATCCCCTGCGGGATATGGCCACTTTTCTTCCTGTACGTTTTTGCAGAGTTACTTCTTTGCCTGGCAAAGGTGCAGGGTCGCCCATTTCACGTCCGTGACTGTGAGCGGCGTATAAACACACCCACACCCACACCCAGCCATACAAGAATTAGTACAAGAGGCTCTCGTATCCTTGACAGGCCTTCCCAGCTGGGAAATTGAGTTTGGAGACTTTGCAGCCCTTGTTATTTTTCACTGGGACAACGGAGAGCCTGCGGGGGCACACGGGCGCCGCGTTGCCGACCCTTGCTGTTCTCCTTCCTGGGGCCGCTGCAATGCCTCTATCTAGGCGCTAGAGGGCAGACCTCACGGTCTTTGGCAATCGCCCGGTCACCCCCTCTGTTCAGGGCGATGCCGGCCTTTGCCACGAGAGTGCAGCATTTGCCATCCTTTGCCATTTCAGAATCTGAATCCAGAATGGATGAAAC